AATTTTCTTGTTATTGAGTTTTAAGAGTTCTTTTGTATATTTCAGATAATAATTTCATCTGATGTGTCTTGTGCGGGTATTTTCTCCCAGGCTGTGGCTTTTCTTCTCATTCTCTTGACAGTGTCTTTCTCAGATCGGGAGATTTTCATGTTAACAAATTCCAGAGTATCAGTGGTTTCTTGGATGGATCACACCTGTGGTATTATATTTAAAAAGCTCATAACCATACTCAAGTTCGTCTAGATTTTCTCCTGTTTTGCATTCTAGGAGTTTTTGTAGGTTTGCATTAAAATTCTTTTTTTAATGTTTTTATTTATTTTTGAAGGAGAGAGAGACAGAGCATGAGTGAGGGAAGAGCAGAGAGAGAGGGAGACACAGAATTCAAAGCAGGTTCCAGGGTCTGAGCTGTCCACACAGAACCCGATACAGGGCTTGAACTCACGAGCCGTGGGATCATGACCTGAGCCGAGCTCGGACGCTTAACCGGCTGAGCCACCCAGGTGCCCCTGTAGGTTTGCATTTTATATTTAGGTTTATGATTCACTTGAATTTTTATGAAGGGTGTAAGGTCTGTGTCTAAATTTTTTTTTTTTTTTGCATGTGGATGTCCACTTGTCCTAGCACCATTTATTGAAAAATCTATCTTTGTTCCACTGTACTGCTTCTGTTCCTTTCTCAGAGATCGGCTGACTATATTTGTGTGGGTCTATTCTGGGCTCTCCACTCTGTTCCAGTGATTTATTTTCCAGCACCGTATGTCTTGATTACTGTAGCTTTATAGTAAGTCTTGAAGTTGGGTAGTGTCAGTCCTCCAACTTTGTCCTTGTCTTTAATATTGTGTTGATTATTCTGGACCTTTTGCCTCCCCATATAAACTTTGGAATCGGTTTGTCAATGTCCACAAAATATCTTGCTGGAATTTTGATTGGGGCTGCACTGAATGGAGAGATCAGTTGAGAAGAACTGACGTCTTGATACTTCTGAGCCTTCCTGTCTGTGAACGTGGAATATGCCTCCATTTGTTTAGTTCTTTCATTTCTTTTATTGGAGTTTTGTATTTTTCTTCATGTAGATCTTGCACATATCTTGCTCGGTTCATATCAAAGTATTTCATTTTAGGGGGTGCTAATGTAAGTGGTGTGGTGTTTTTTATTTCAAGGTCTACTTGTTAATTGATGGTATATAGGAAAGCAAATGACTTTTGTATATTAACCTTGTATTTTGCAATCTCGCTATAATCACTTATTAGTTCCAATTTGTTGCTGTTGTTGATTCTTTAGGATTTCTACTTAGATGATCATGTCACCTGCACACAAAGAAAGTTGTATTTCTTCCTTTCCAATCTGTGTATCTTTTGACTTAATCAGTTTAGGTTGCTAATAACAAACACCATGGACTGGGGGGCTTAAATGACAAACATTTCTCACAGTTCCGGAGGCTGGATTAGCATGCCAGCATCATTGGATTCTTGGTGGGGGCCCTCTTCCTGGTTTATGGACTGTCACTTTCTTGTATCCTTGCATGGCAGAGACAGCGAGACAGAGGAAGCAAGCAGTCTCAGGTCTCTTCTTATAACAGCACTAATAATCATGATGGCTCCACCCTCATGACCTAATTACCTCCCAAAGGCCTCTGCTCCAAATACTATCCCACTGGGGATTAGGGTTTCAACATATGAACTTTGAGGAGATGCAAGTTTTCAGTCCATAGCACCTTTCATTTCCTTTTCTTGTCTTATTGCATTGGCTGGGACTTCCAATAAGATGTTGAAAAGGAATGGTGGGGGACATAAGGTGTTGAAAAGGAGAGGGGGACATCCTTGCCTTGTTGCTGGTCTTAGTTGGAAATTATCTAGTTTTTCTCTCATTAAGTGTGATGTTGGCTGTAGGTTTTCTGTAGATGTTCTTTATCCAGTTGAGGAGGTTCCCTATGCCTAGTTTGCTGATGGGTTGGTGTTTTATTATGAATAAGTGTTGGGTTTTGTCAAATGCTTTCTCTGCATTTATTAATATAATCATGAGATTTTTTTTCTTCTTCAGCCTGTTGATGTGCTGGATTACATTAGTTGATTTTTGAATGTTGAGCCAGCCTTGCATACGTGGGATAAATCCCACTTGGTGATGGTGTATAATTCTTTTTGTACATTGTTGGATTTACTTTTTTGAGGACTTTTGCACCTGTGTTCATGATGTAGCTCTAATTTTTCTCTCTTTTTTAAAAATGTTTATTTATTTTTGAGAGAGAGCATGAGTGGGGGAGGTGCAGAGAGAGAGGGAGAGACGGAGAATCCCAAGCAGCCTGTCAGTGCAGAGCCTGATGGGGGCCTCGAACTCACGAACCATGAGATCATGACCTGAACCAAAATCAAGAGTTGGACGCTTAAGACTGAGCCACCCAGGCATCCCGTGTAGTTTTCTTTTCTTGTAATAGCTTTGTTTAATTTTGGTATTAGAGTAATTCTGGCCTCAGAATGAGTTAGGGAGTATTCCCTCTGCTTCTGTCTTCTGGAAGAGATTGCAGGAAATTGGAAGAATTTCTTCCTTAAATGTTTCTTCCTTAAATTTACCGGTGAACCCATCTGGGGCCTGGTGCTTTCTGTTTGGGAAGGTTATTAATTATTAATTCAATCCCTTTATTTAATTTTTAAAAGATTTTAATTTTAGGTAATCTCTACATCCAATGTGGGGCTTGAACTTACAACCCCAAAATCAAGAGTCACATGCTCTACTGACTGAGCCAGTCAGGTGCCCCTGATTCAACCTTTTTAGTAGATATAGGCCTGTTCAGATTTCTTCTTGTGTGAGTGTTGGCCGATTGTGTCTTTCAAGGAATTGGGCCATGTCATCTAGGTAATCAGATTTGGGGACTTCAAGTTTTTCATAACATTGCTTTATTATCCTTTTAATGTTCGTGGGATCCATCGTGATACATCCTCATTCATGTCTGATATTAGCAATATGTGTCTTCTCCTATTTTTCTCAATTAGTCTGGCTAGAGGATTATTGAATCTATTCACCTTGTCAAAGAACCAGCTTTTGGTTTCATTGTTTTTCTTTATTGTTTTCTCATTTTCAATTTCATTGATTTCTGCTCTAATTTTTAAAATTATTTCTTCTGCTTATTTTGGACTTAATTTGCTCTTATTCTTCTAGTTTCCTAGGTGGAAGCTTAGGTTTTTGATTTTACATCTTTTTCTTTTCCAATATATGCATCAATGCTATAAACTTCCCTGTAATCACTGCATCCCACAAATTTTGGTAGATTTTATTTCATTTTCATTTAGTTCAAAGCATTTTTAAGTCTCCTTGAGATTTTTTCTTTCACCTACATGTTATTTAGGAGTATGTTGTTTAATTTCTACATATTCAGAGATTTTCCACCTACTTTTGTTGATTGATTTCTAGTTTAATTCTATTATGGTCTGAGAGCATACAGAACACATTGGAAATTGTGAGGGTGTGTTTTATGACCCAGAATATGGTATATCTTGGTGAATATTCCATGTGATCTTGAGAAAAATGTGCATTCTGTATTTTCTGGATGAAGTCCTCCATAGGTATCAATTAGATCCAGTTGGTTGATGGTACTGTTGAGTTCAATTGTGTCCTTACTGATTTTATACCTGCTGGATCTGCCCATTTCTGTTAAAGGGGAGTTGAAGTCTCCATATATAATAGTGGATCCATCCATTTCAACTTGTAGTTCTACTGGTTTTTTCCTTATATATTTTGACACTGTTGTTAGGTGCATATACATTAAGGACTGTTATGTCTTCTTGGAGAACTGACCCTTTATCATCATTATAAAAAGAGGCATTACATAATGCCTCAACATTTTTCCTTTTCTGAAGTCTGCTCTGTCTAAAATTAATATAGGCTCTGATAAAACCCCTATAAGTTAAGCTCTGGCAAAATAGTTTCTCTTAAGGGCCTTGTTAAGAAAAATAGAGTGTTCTGGCATATTTCGACATGGTTACTTTCCCTTCTACTGTGAGAAGCAGGTTTTTTTCCTCTCTGAGTTTCACTGTGAGGACCTGGTAGAGCTTCAGAAGGTAAAGCTCACCAAGGTGTGGGACTCCACCCCTTCCGTGACTGGGTCACCCTGGAGTTTTTAACTCTCATACTTGTCCACACTGAGCCTCCACCAATTTGTCAATCACAGTTGAGCTTTTCCTATTCTGGTACCGGTTCCTGAGAAGGTGGCTTCTGCTTTGGCAAGTTGTGATTCTCTGCATTCGGCAGTCTGTCTCTCCAATTTGGGGGGCAGCCTTTGTCCTGTGACGTTCATGGATTTAAGAGGATTTGTTGAATTTCCAGCTTGTTCAGCTTTTTACTTGTCGTTAGGATGGGCTGATGACTCCCAAGCTCCTTACATGCTGGACTGGAAACTGGGCACATGGTTGCCCAGCCACAGACTACATCTCCCAGCTTCCCTTGCAGCTAGGCATGGCCAGTGGGGTGTAAGTAGAAACCTTGTGAGCCAGAGAGCCTTTCCTTCCCTTCCCCTCTCCTCCTTCCTATGGGTTGGAAGGCAGATACAATTCTGACGAATTGGCCTCCACCGTGCAAGGGAGGACATCACTCTACGGAATGGCAGAGCCACAAAGTGGAAGGGACCTGGGTCCGTGGGTGACCACATAGAGCAGAGCTGCTCTGCCAACCAGGACCACGCACCTTTGGATTGTTACAGCAGGGAAGTAAAGTTCTATCCTCTTGGACCCAGAGTATTTTGGGGTCTCTTTATCGAGGCAATTTAGCCTGTACCCTAACTAATCCAGACCCCAAACCCTTAGCGAGCCAGAGTTTCCTAGACAGAGACAGCTGGCTGTGGTAGAAAGTACATGAGATACGGGCCGAAAACAGGCCTGCTCCAGGCTTGGATGCTGATTTACCGGGTAGCTCACCCTCTCTGGGCACTTCTCCATCCAAATCCACCTCAACTTGCCTCCAATGAGCTGAGGGGCATACAAGTGTGGCGATGAACCACGGATGGCCGGGCAGTTGGTAAGAGCAGATTTTAATGAGGGACATCCTGAGGATGAAGCTTACTGTGACTGTAACCTATGAGAGCCCTCTGTGCCTCTGTCTGCAGATTTCAGGTGGCTAGACCTGGAGGCACTGTAGGAATGTGTCTTCCGGTGGCTCTTGGGTTTTAGTAACATAACGGTCAAGTTGACTTTTTTGAGGACAGCTTCCAGGTCTGTGAATCTTAACACACGTGTAGCGTCCTGTGCTTGCTGCCATGGTCAGGATACGGAACAGCTGGCCCTTCTCACTGGGCGGGGCACAGGTGAAGCTCACCTGGGTCATGCAGTCAGCAGCACAGCCGGGGGAGGCGGGCCTGGTGGGCTCAGGCTGAGCTGAGAGGAGCAAGTTGGGGGCAGCCCCCTCCTCAGGGCTCAGACCAGCCTCCTCAAGGCTCTTCCCTGCCCACTGGCCCCTGAAGAGTCCTAGGGGCCTTCTCAAAAAAGCCTGGCTCATCTGACAGGACCAGGGGTGAGGTGGCCCCCTGGAATGGCCACTGGCCTTGGTCTCTTTCCTTCCATTCCCAGAGGAACCATAGAGAAACTGGGTTGGGGCCTGTGTCACCCTGCCTAGGAGCCTGCAGTGGCTCCCTGATGCCTTCTGGCCCCATCCAAGGTGCTGAGTGTCTGAGGTCAGAGAGGAGGTCGGTCATTGTTTGTCCCCAGTCCCTGCTGCCCTGCCCCGGAGTGTCCGCTGCTCCCAGGCTCCCCCTGGGTACCCCTTGGTCCTCCTTCTCCCATGATCCCCTTCTGTGTCCCTGTAGCTTTGGCCCCAAGCTGCTGGTGCCGCCTTCCTCCCACGGACCTGCAGCTGCCTCTTCTTCCCTCCTCTCCATCCATGCTCCATGGGGCAGCTCAGAATCCTCCAGTGGCTCCTGATCGCCTGTGGAAGCAAGTCCTGGATCCTCCTCTGCTATTGGGTTCCCCCACCCCCGACCTTGCCACTGTCCCCCCAGGCACCTGCCCTCACCCCTGCATCTGCCCTCCTTGGCTCGGATGAACCCCTCTAGGCTGGACTCCTGAGTAACTATTTTACCTTGATTTAGCGCTGATTTCATGCATGTTGCGCTATTTGCCAACGTATCTTTCTCTCCTATGAGATGTTAAGGTAGGTGAGAACGGGCAGCTTGTCTTACTCTCTCCTGTGACCGCATGAAACCCAGTACCCACTGCATGCTTGTGAAAGAGGTGTTCCAGGTACTGTACTAAGGGGGGGCCCTTTCTGGCCCCACTCTTGGCTCTTGCTGTTTCCTCACATTAGCATTTAATGTCCTTCTCTCCCCTCTCTGTCCATCGAAATCCTGCCTCTCTTCTAGAGTTAGTTCAAGGGCAGCCTCTACCTGGAAGCCTGCAGTGATCACCCCCTCCTTATGTTTCCCCAGCCTGTGTGGCCTGGAGGTTGGGCACAGTGTGCCTGCATCAGGCACATGGGTGACAGGAAGGGGGCAGTGCTGGAAGGGGAAAAGACTCCAGGAGCCCAGGGAGGGGATTCTGGGCCGGGTTGTGCATGAATGTAGGCAACTCTGCACTGAGGGCAGGGGAAGCAGCAGCAGGTATGGGCTGATCCAGCAGCCCCAGGGTTTGAACATGAACTCTGGCAGCAGGAACGCAAGGGAATCTGTGAGGAACGAAAGGAAAGGATGTCTGTCAGGCTCTGTCATGGGAGGCTCTGGGGTTAGGTCCAGTCCCACAAGGAGTCTGGGTCTCCAGGGTTCTGAAGATGTGATGCTGGTCAGGCTGACGTGGAGGCTGGTCTGATGGAGGTCGGGGTGACCCAGGTGCCCACAGTTGGGCCAGTGGCCTCAGCAGGAGATGAGGAGGGGGTTGGCGAGTGCAGGAGCCGTGGAGGCTGGTGCCGAGGGCTCTCTCCGCAAGAGCTCACAGCCAGCCAAAGCCGTGTGCAGGGCGTCCAGGATGGCTGAGGGTCCAGATCTCCCCTCTGGAAGGGAGGAGTAGACAGGGAGGGCACGTCAGTTTGCTCACCATGGCCCACAGAGCCACTTTTCTTTCTGGGGCCCTCCCCAGCCCTCTCTTGTCTCACTCCCACTGAGGACCCCAGAGAAGCCGGCTCCTAGCACATAATTTCTGACCTCCCTCTCGATTCCAGGGGCCATTCCAGGTGCTAGACATACCCAAGCCTTGCCCAGCAATGCCCTGTGAGGCTAGCGAGCAAAGGCTTATGATCAGTTGGTCATCCCATTAGCGTGAGGCCCTTTGAGGAGAGAGCTTGGCCTGGCTCGTCTTGATTTCACGAGACACAATCTGGCCCTGATGTAATCCTACTGCCCCCGAACTTTATCTAAAAATGGTGACCATGTAGCTCAGTGCTTAAAGGAGAGACCTAAGGCTTTGGGTGCAGCTGGCACTTGGCCTCTCTGTGCTTCAGTCTCTCCATCTGTGGAATGGGCACAATAACAGAACCTTCTTCAGTGGGCTGCTGTCATGACGCAGGGGATTAAAACCATGTGAGGTGCCTCTCCAGAGCCTGGCACATAGTCAGCCTGCCGACTGAACTGAGAGCAGGGAACCCTGCCCAGTTCCCTTGGGGGTTTTGGCCCTGCTGGCTTCTGCTGGGCTCTTCTCCCCAGGACTTCTGTTCCCCTGCTCTTGTCAAATAGCCTTTTGAACTGTTCCTGACTACGTACTTTCAGGGCGGTACTGACAGTGGCATTTTGCAGACAAGACACTCAGGACAGACAGTGCTGAGTCAGGCCACCGTCAGATGCTGTCCAGGCTCTGAAAGATAGGAGAGATCTCCTACCATGTGTGGGGTCCTTGCAAGCATCCAGCGTGTTCAGCAAAATCTTCCCCAGGGCTCTTTTCGATATGTTCTGAAAAAGAAATAGAGACAGGGCTGGGCTGCACTGTGGCTGCTGTGTCCTCGTTCAGCGGCTCGGACTTGGTGGCCCCTACGGGCTTCTGCATGGCTCCCTAGGGCACAGAGAGTCACTACCCCCCTCCCTTCCTGGCCCCCTGGCCCTAGGCTGGCAACACTGCTTGCTGGGCTTCTCAGAGACTTTTGGTGGGTGGATTGAGTGGTATGCGGGACCCATTCCATCAAAGATCACATATTTGTGGATTACCACTCATGTGCCCAAGGAGAAGTAGGCACTTGGGAAATAAACATGAATAAGAGCATTTCTTTTTTTTTTTTTTTCAACGTTTATTTATTTCTGGGACAGAGAGAGACAGAGCATGAACGGGCGAGGGGCAGAGAGAGAGGGAGACACAGAATCGGAAACAGGCTCCAGGCTCTGAGCCATCAGCCCAGAGCCCGACGCGGGGCTCGAACTCACGGACCGTGAGATCGTGACCTGGTTGAAGTCGGACGTTTAACCGACTGCGCCACCCAGGCGCCCCGAATAAGAGCATTTCTATGCATGGTCTCATGTAACCTTTGGAACAGCTTATATTATTAGGCTCCTTTTAATGGGTGAAAAAAGCAGTGCTGAGAAAGAATGAGACATTCGGCCATAGCCACCCAGCAAGGAGGCAGAAGATCCAGCATTTACCCACAGGCTGCATGGCCAGAAGTTGCCTGCTGCTGCTGGCTGCCCCTCAGCTCTTCTCCCAGGCTGTGCTAATCTGGCCTGGGCCTTGCTGGTTCAGTATCCTAGGCAGTCTGGTGCACAGGTAAGAGCCTGCTTAAAACTCAGGCAAGCCGGGTTCAGATCCCACTCTCACCTTACAGCGGCTGTAATCCTAAGTTAATTGTCTCTCAAGAAAAAAAAATTTTAAATGTTTATTTATTTTTGAGAGAGAGAGAGAGAGAGAGAGAGAGAGAACATGAGTCGGGGGAGAGGCAGAGAGAAGTGGGGACAGAGACTCTGAAGCAGGCTCTGTGCTGACAGCAGAGAGCCTGATGCGGGGCTCAAACCCATAACCTGAGCCAAAGTTGGATTGCTTAACTGATGGAGCCACCCAGGCACCCCTCAAAAAAAAATTTTTTTTTCTAAATAGTTTGCTGATGCTATTTAGGAACACGATTGATTTCTGTACTCTGATATTTTATCATTCACCTTGCCAAGAAATTACAATAATTTGCTTATGGATTCTCTTGGGTATTTCTGTGTAGATGAATATGATATATAATTACTGATAGCTTAATGTCTTCTTGTCTAATCCTTACACCTTTTCCTTTTTTTTCTTGTCTTATCCCATTGGCTGGAACATCTAGCTGGAATACAGACAGTGAGGACAGTCATGCTGGTCTTGATTCTGACTTTAGAAGGATTCCTTCTAACATTTCACCAATATCTGTGAGGTTTGTGAGACGTAGTTGGCTGAGACTCCTTATCTGGTAAAGGAGGGTCCTTACTGTTCTTCTTTCTTTTTTTTTTTTAATGTTTATTTATTTTTGAAGAAGAGAGAGACAAAGTGTGAATGGGGAAGGGGCAGAAAGAGAAGAAGACACGGAATCCAAAGCAGGCTCCAAGCCCTGAGCTGTCAGCATGGAGCCCGACGCGGGGCCCGAACCCACAAACTGAAATCATGACCTGAGCCAAAGTCGGATGCTTAACCAACTAAGCTACCCAGGCTCCCCTATGATTTTCCTTTCTTATATTCATCCTTCTGTGGTTTTGAAATCAAAGTTAGGTTAGCTTTATAGAACAAATTAGAGAGCCTCCTCTTGTTTTTAATTACCTTCCCTGAGCCTCCTTTTCTGCATTGGAAAGTGGAGATAAGACCTGCCTAATGTGAGGAAAGCTCAGAGCCAGGCGCCCGACATAGGCCGGTGCCCCCTCCTGAGAGCCCCTCTCGTTGCCCTGGGTGGGCCACCTCCTGTGAGCCTACCAGGTCCCGGAGCCTTTGCAGGAGCTGCACCACGTCTACCAGCTTCTCCTCCAGCAGGGACAGCCGCACCCTCTCTGTCTCCACCATCTGCAGCTCCAGCCTCAGCTGCTCGTTCTCTTCCACCTTCCGCTGCAGCTCTGCCTGCGGGGACCAACAGGGACTCAGCGCCCACACTCACCGTGCTGTCTCCGGGCAGGACCCACAGCTTGCCTTGACCCTTTCTCAGAGGTCATCTGGCCCCCTCTGCCCCCCCACCCCCACAGCCCAGAGAGGCTGCATGTCTGGCCTAAGGTCGCACAGTGTGTTGGGTTAATGTAAGAATATGCATATTTTGGTTTCTATTGGAGAACTTCATTTTCCCTTCTCTATCCATATGCTTTCTTTTTTTTTTTTTTTTTAATTTAAATGAAAAAAAATTTTTTTTTGGTTGCAAGCAACAGAAACTTCTTTTCTGGCTAGCTTAAACAGAAAAAAAATTCGCTAGTGAGCTATGGGTCATTCCCAGAACAGACCGGTGGCTGGAGAAGCTCAGGGATGGGGCAGCAGTGGGGTCTGAGACAGTAGGACGGTCTCAGGCCTCTTGTCCAGGGGCCAGAGCTGAGAAGAACACTTTCCAGCAACTCTCCCACCTCTCTCAAGATGGAAGGCCTCAGGAGAGGGGCCTGATTGGGCCAGTGTGAGTCACTGGCCCACCTTGGCCAGGGGAGCACTGAGACCGTGGGTATCCACTGGGATACCCACTAGGGGGCAGCTGCCAGGCAGTCATAACGTGTCACATGGCTATCTGCCTTCTAAAGCAGGGATGCCAGGAGTAAGGTGGTCCCTGTTCTTAGCACTGATGGAGGGAAAGAGAAGCAGCCGAAGACGTGGTGCCCTTGGACTCTCTGAGTCCTCTTTGGGCTTTGGGCAGGACAGAGAAGGCATGGTGCCTATGCCTCCTGCAGACGGGCCTGGAAGATGGGCTTGGGGACACAGCTCGTGTGCCTCAGTAACTCTCCTGATCCCCACTTCCTGGAAATTTACTTAGAAAAGGGGCGGTGGCTATGCCTTGTGGAACTGCATCAGAGCAACGTCAAAGACAGCATGGGTTTAGAATTTCAGGTATATAAATATAAAACGATCTTCTATCAAAACGACAGTTTGCAAAAGCGTAATGTGCTGGGGCTTAATGAAATGGTGACTCTCAGTAGCACTCCACACTTGATTACTGTGGGATGGAGAAGTTGCTCGGAGTGGAGAGATGAGAAAAAATGCCAAGCGGTCTCATTGAAACGGAGACACCTCGCCATTGGCTGTTGGTGTATATCCCTCCCTTACCCTCCATAACTCTCCTGGGGGACAGTGTCCCTCCTCCCCCTCATCTGACTTTGATGGAGCTGCTAATCACTGAATCTTGCCTGGCTACCACAGGGACTGGCCCAGGGACACTCACATGACCGAGGCTGGGCCGGTTGGCGTTCCTCCCTGAGGTTTAGTATATTGGGCTCTTATCCCCCTGGGCTTTCTTAGGTGGGCCAGTGGGAGGCTGGAGCTGTCTCTGGTCCCTTTCCCCACCATACAGAGGAAGCCTTTCTGAAGGAGGGCGAAATGAGGCCAGCGCCAAGAGAAACACAGAGCAGATAGGTGGCAACAATCTGGTCTGAGTCGCTGGATCCAGCTGTTTCTGACGCTCATCTCCTCGGCTGTTCTTGCCAGCTCCATATTCTAATAAATACCTATTCTGCACGCAAGCTGTTCTGAGATGGTTCCTTTAACTTGCAACCAAAATATTCTTCGTTAAATCTACGACAAAGGAAGGCACATCTCTTTGAGTCTTGGTTTACCCATCTGTGAACAGGGCACAGGACTTGGCTGACATCCCTCAGGGTTCTTCCAGCTATGAGAGACTTTAGCATTGGTCCAGACCTCGACCTCTGGGGCTCAGCTGACCTCCTCCCCAGGTGTCCCCAGGGTCTTCTCACTGCAGCCCTGGGTCCCCAGCTGCTCCACCAGCACGGCGATGCGAGCCTCCAGCTCCCCCAGGGTACAGGCATGGTCAGCACTGCCAAAGTGGCCGAAGTAAGTCACAAGCTTCTTGGCTGTCTGTTCATCACACCTGCAGCAAAGGAGAGCACCAGCACTGTGGGGCTGCTTTCCAGAGCCTGCTCCAGCCTCAGAAAGTGGGTGTTGCCACCGAGTCTAAAAGCCAGGCCATGGCACCCCCTGGTCAGTACCCCTCCCGTGGCTCCCCATCTGACTGAGAGGAAAAGCCAAAGGCCTCACCCAATGTGCCCCTCTGATCTCCCTGGCCTCCCTCTCATCCATCTTCACTCACTGTGCTCTAGCCACAGAAGCCTCCTCACCGCCCCTCCAACATGCCTCGGGGCCTTTGCACTTCTTGCTGTTCCCTCTTCCTGGAATGCTCTTCCCTCATTTCCTTCAGGTCTTTGCTCCAATAGCACCTTCTTAGAGTGGCCTTCCTGGCATCTCCTCGCCCCTCGCTCTTCTGCTGCTTCACCTTATTTTCCTCCTACTTGTCACCACTCACTAGAATAGGGGCTCCAGGAGAGGAGGGCTGCTGTCTTGTTTATTGCCGTTCTCTCAGAGCCTCCAGACTTGTCTGGCACGAAGTAGGTGCTTAATAAATGCTTGTTGTTGACTTAAGGGTCGGTGGTGACAATAGTCCTGGAAAGCTGACAGCACCATACAATATAATAATAAACACCAGCGCTGCCCCTTGGTGGCGTACCTACTGCGGTCAGGCACCTGTTAGGCATTTTATAGCCTTGACAACAAATCTTCACAAACCTCTTGCCTGCCTTAGAGACGAGGAAGCTGAGGCTCAGAGGAGTCAGGAGACTTGTCTGAGGTGCCCCAGGCATCTGGGTCTTTCTCCCCTCTCGGGTGGTCGTGAGGATTACATAAGTTGGGGAGTCAGAAGGCCCCTGACCTGGGCCAGGCTGGAGGAGGGCACCGTAAACGCTGTTTCTCGCGGGAGCGACCGGGTAAGGAAGGGTCTGGTATGTCCTGGAATTACATGGAGCTGTGGGCCATGTCCTGGGATAGCGGCCAGGGGACTGAGAAGACACCAACGGTCACTAAAGCCCCCCACAAAGTGTGCCTTTGCCAGTCCCCTCATTCCATCCCCGCACGTGCCTGGGGTGGGGGGCGGGGCATCTGATCACTTCCCTCCTATGGACTAGGGGACAGAATCAGGCCTGTCAGCCTCCCAAGCTCAAGCTCTGTCACTGTGTGAAGGGGCTCTGGGCCTCTCGCGCCCCCCCCCCCCCCGCCGCCCTCTGCGGCACACATACCCACTCCTGCAGCTGGAGAGGCGAGCCAGCAGCGTCTTGACCTTGGCCAGTGACCTCTGCTCTTCCTGCCACTTCTCGGCCTCCTCTTCTTCGTCAGAGGCGGCCTGGCCCTCCACTGAGCGGAACAGCTGCCCGTCCGCTGCTGGAGAAACACGGGATGCGGGGACAAGGGACAGAGGGAGGGAACCAGGCAGCCCGCCCCAGGGGGAAGCCACCAAGGCTCACCAGGAGCCACGCCGGCCACCCAGAGCCCCTCCCTGACGTTCTACCCAGGGACCCTGAGAGAGAGAAGCCCTTTTTCTTCTCCGCTTTCTAAGATGACAAAACCAGCCGGGACCTGTCTGTGCCCTCAGAGATGCAATATTATTCCCATTTGAGGATATGGCCATCCCAGCCAGGAAAGCCGTGGGGCGGGGGCTGGGGCTCTGCTGGCACACACACCAGGTTGAACAGGTTTTCAGCTCGCAGGGGGCTGCATGCCTTTGACACTGGGGGGGGGGGGATGCAGAGGAAGAGCAGTCATAAGCGTGACTCTGTGTGATCCCCAGCATGGCTGTGTCTGGTTGGTGTCCCCCAGTCTGGCTGTGCATCAGAAACCCCGGGGTTGGTTGTGGCCTCCTGGTGTCCCGTCACCCAGCATCAGGCTCTGTCTCCGGGGGGGGGGGGAACAGCCCCCGAATATCTCTCCAGGGGAGCCCTCCCTTTCCTCCCCACTCCACCCCAGCCCCAGGGACACAGATGTCCAGCCTGGCCAGGCAGAGTGCAGACTAGACGGCCACGGGACTGGGTCAGCCAGGGCAGCAGACCCAGGGCGGGCCGAGGACAGTCAGGCCAAAATCTGATTCAGACTTCCAGGGAAGAGAAGGGCCTGCACTCCCCTGGCCTGGGAGTTGGAGGGTGTGGGTCTGGAGCTCCTGGGGGCTGTCCAGTCAGTAAGAGGGGAGCGCCTTCCACACGATGGGTCCACGAAGGCAAGGCAGCAAGGGGTGCAGTTCTGCTGACATCTCGGCTGTGCCCAAAGCCTACTTGGACTTTTTAATTAATTCCCCGCACCGTACCTTCCATCTGACTCGAGCCAGTTTGACAGTGACAATGGCCTGACCCTCGCAGACAGATAGTATCCTGAGCAGCAAAGCTGTGCATACCTTCCCCCCCGTAGAGGGAGAGGAGAATCAGAAGCAGCAGATCTGAGGTGGGCCTGGGCATCTGTGATCCGGGCCACCTGGCAGGTTTGGGAACCACTGATTCAGGTATCCTGACTTGGGACACCCGTCTCTCCAGCCTGACTGTCCCAGCTGGGTGGGCTCAGGGCCCTTCCGTTTAGTTTCAGTAGAAACTGTCCTGGACCAGAGTGCCTGGGTGGCTCAATCGGTTGGGTGTCTGACTTGGGCTTAGGTCACGATCTCATGGTTCGTGAGTTCAAGCCCCGCGTCGGGCTCTGTGCTGACAGCCTGGAGCCTGCTTTGGATTCTGTGTCTCCCTCTCGCTCTGCCCCTCCCCCACTCACGCTCTGTCTCTCTCTCTCTCTCAAAAATAAATAAATGTTAAAAAAGAAAAATAAGAAACTGTCCCGCACCAAAGAGAACCAGGGTTGAGGTGACTGATCCATGACGTTTTGGTTGCATGAATCGTGTTCCCAATATTGACGGTTTGTTTCTTGTCCTCGGGATTTCCTGGTGCGGTGCTGTGTGTATGTGTGTTGTGTATGTGTGCATGTATATATGCGTGTGTGTGTGTGTGTGGTATCATTACGGTCACGGTCATTAACACGTCCTGGTGCCCGAGGCAGGGGCAGGCAAGGGGCTCTGAAGATGAACTGGAAAGATGGCACCCAGCGGCCCCTCCGCACCTGCCCATGGCTGAGCCCAGCGAGCACTGTGTGCAGGGACAAACCTTCGTCCAGGGGTCTGTTCCCGGAGCTGCTGTCTGACTGCCAGGCTCCCTCTGGAGAGGTGTCTGGGCTTCTGGTCCCACTTTCCTCAGGTTCACCACTCTTGGCTTCTGGCTCTGGGCTGCCTTGTGAGGAGATTGGGAGCTGGGTGCCCTCTGACCTGTGGGCAGGGGAGAAGACACAGGTGCTGAGAGGGAGGAGGGGGCTTGGCCAGCTTCCTGCTGGCAGTGTGGGACGTGGACCCACCCTCTGCCACTGCTTACTCTGCACAGGTGAGCTATGATGTGCCTGAAGAAGACCATGTGGTTGACCTTACCGGCTCTCTACCCAACAGCCAGGATGTTAGAGTCAGACTTCCATGACAGACACTCCCTGTCCCAGTGTCCCTTGTATCTAAGGCACAGGTTGCAATCTAATTTTAGCCAAGGAGGCTAAAGGAAAAATCTTCTGGGGAGCCTCTGGAATGGATTTTTATCCCTTACTAGAAGTAAATCAGGAAAGAAAATGCCCTTCCTTCTTGCCTTTGGACTTTGTCGTGTGGATATGTTTGAAACACTGGCAGCCATCTTGTGACCATGAGGAAATGGCTGAGAGAATTATGGAGTAGTTGAACAAGAGCCCTGATATCTTTCAGCTGCTGAGAGTCCTGGACCTCCCACTGCGGGACTTCTTATTATGGGAGAGATTTTTTTAAAAGTCTTAATTGTTTCAGTTACTTTTAATTGGGCTTTGGAGAACCTACTTCACCCTCATCAATCAATGTTCTTGATATTCTAAGGTCCTCACTTGAATCTTCAGGGTCCGTGTCACTGCCCTTACAAAATCAAGGGAAAAAAAGAAAAACAAATCTATCCTAGCATGAAAATATTCACTAACGAACTGGCTGCTTATTAAACTAGCCCTTTCCTCCTCTTTCATTTTATACCCGCATCTGTCTTTCATCTCTTCAGAATCTGTTGTTACTCAACCTCTCCCTGTCAGATGTAACAGCCCAATAGAAAAGAAAGGGCTGTGAAGTGAAATTTCACATCTTGGAAAAGAAGAGGCTGTGGGGGTGTCGTTGAAGGGCTACTGGGGAACCATGGGACTCACAGGCAAAGCCACTGATGGTGGGAATGTGGCAGAGTTGGGCCAGTTTACAACCGAACAAGAGAAAAATCAACAGGATTAGGAAGGGCCAGGAGCACCAGAAGAGACTCGGGGGACTGGGAAAAGCCCTTAGAAAAACGATCAAAAGTCTCGAATACTTTTGCAAAGAGACCCTCCTCATGACCCAGTTGCAACAAGAAAATGTGACGTTAAGGACGCCCCATTGTGTTTTCACACAGTTTTGTTGGGAAAATTATTCCAAAAGGAATATAATCAACCCGGAAACAGTCTACATCTAAGAATTAATACACTGTCCTACAGTCATGAAGATTGCTTTTAAAAAAGGAGTGAAAAGTGAAAAATAGAATTGCCGTGTGACCCGGTAGACCACTTCTGGGTATGTACCCAAAAGATCTGAAAGCCGGGACTCAAGCAGATGTTGACACACCCTTGTCCACCGCAGCATGATTCAATAGAAGTGACCCAAGTGTCCATTGATGGTTGAATGGATAAAGTGTGATCTATCCATACAATGCAATATTATCCAGCCTCCCAAAGGGAGGAAATACCGACGCGCTACAACACGGACGAGACTTGACATGGTGCTCAGCGAAAGAAGCCAGTCATCAGAGGACAAATGCTGTATGATCCCACTTCTGTCAGGTCCCTAGAGCGCTCAGATTCCTGGAGACAGAAAGTAGGAGGGTGGGTGCCGGGGGGCTGGGGGCCGGGAGAACGGGGAGTTAGTGTTTAATGGGGACAAAGTTACATTTTGGGAAGATGAGAGAGGTTCTGTGGATGGGTGGGGGGATGGTTGCACAACAGTGTGAATGTACTTAACGCCACTGAACTGTGCACTAAAAAATGGCTACAATGGTTAAGTTGTATGTTATGTATACATGTTACAATGGAAAAAAAAAAAAAAAGAAGGAATAAGTAGTTGAAAACATCACCTGGTTGTATCTGCTAAGTAGCACAAGAAACTCACTTTAATACATTTTGGGTTTATTTTTCAAGTTAAAGCCTCAGTCAAATCAGACACAGGCCACTCTCTTTGGTCCCATTTTGTGCAGATTCACTTCAGTGGATCTCTCCGGGGCCAAGTATTATTGGAAACCGAGGACCCTTCTGCTCCGTTCAGGAGTTGCTGTTTGAAGTCACCGGCCAGTCCTTGCCCACACAGACCACTGTAAAGATAGAAGCCACACAACACCGTGGATGAAGCGGGGGCCTTGGTGCCAGCCCTGGCCTTGCCAATGAGGAAGTGGCAGTGGGACCTGGTCCCCATTTTGCAGATGGGTCGCTGGAGCCGATGACCTCTGAGGTCCTCCCATCTCTGCTTGCGTTCTGGTGATCAGGCCTGTGTGAGTATTCAGAGGAGCCAGCTTGGCCAGCATGCATGTCAGGGACATGTCGGGGACGCGGCACTGCAGAGAGTCCTAGCAGGTGTGGGTGCCCAGTGTTTGTTGGGTGGATTCAGCATCGGGGGGACTGTCTGCTGAGCCAAACAAGAGGGGATCTGCGGGACTGCGCTCGGGACCCAGAGCAGGGCATCGGCTGCCTGGGGCCACCCAGCACCTCCTCCCCGTTGGTGGCAGCTTCCCTGACTGCCACCCAGATGTCTCACCTGCTCACCTACCCCTACCACCAGCAGCTAGTCTGCTCAGAGGAGGGCGTGGCGTGTGGCTCCTCCCCATGCTAATTAGCATGATCCCACCCCTGGCCACCGTGATTGGCCCAGGCCTGCACAGGTAGCCAATGAGACCAAAGGAACTGTCTGCTGGGGTTTCCCGCGGATCCGCTGGCTCCCTGCCTGGTGAGGTCTGAGGACGACATGTAGGGAGATGTGACAGCCCAGGGGGCCGGCTGGAGATGCAGGGAGCTACAGAGAGAGCCTGAAGATGACAACAGAAACGACATCCTTAATGACATGATTTGGGTTGCTGGATCAGGGCTAACCCTAAACTTTTGTGTGTGTGTTTTTAAAATTTTTTATTTTGGGGAGAGGGCGCGAGCACGCAACTGGGAGAGAGGGGCAGAGAGAGAGAGAATCCCAACCAGGCTCCACGCTTAGTGCAGAGCCCAATGTGGGGCTCGATCCCAGGACCCTGGGATCATGACGTGAGCAGAAATCAAGAGCTGGATGCTCAAGCGACTGAGCCACCAGGAGCCCCTAAACTTTCGTGTTTTACGAGCCAATAACTAAGTCCTGTATTCAAGCTCCTGTAATGCAAGCCGAGAACAGGGATCTGGCTTGGCAGCCGTCAGTGTGAAAAGGCCATGGGCGGGTATTCTTGTTTAAGCATGACACCATGTGAGGTTTCCAAAGGCTCATACAGCCCGGAGAAGAGAAGACACGAGGGTACGGGGTCACTGTTTCCAAGACTCAAAGGTGGAGACAAGTAGCCTTTTTATGGCCCCAGAGGGCGATGCTTGCCCAGAAGGAGAGAAGGAGGGGGAAGCAAAGATGAGATTTGGAGAATCAGAAGGAGGCAGTTTTAGCTCACTGTGAGGAATGACTTTCTCACAGGGATTGCTGACCAAGAACAGAATGGGCTGTCTTGCAAGGTAATGAGCTTCTGGGCCAAGGAGGTATGTAAGGAGGTAAGGGACTTCAGTGGGCTGGAATTTTGAACAGAGTTGGAGGCCGAACTTGACAATATCTACATCTTCCCACTCTGAAATGCTGCTTTCCCCCCTAAATTATTTAAGGGCTTCAACAAACAATATGAGACGGAGGGACCGAGCCCTTATTTACAAGTTTCCTAGCATAGGCTAGCGCTGGCACCCTGGTCCCTCCTCTCCCCACATGCCCACAGCCACTTGAGTCTTGGAAACCCCGCCCCAAGTGCAACTTTGTGCATTACCAACAATAACCAGAAACAACAACAGCTAAATCTTTCAGAATGCTTACTAGGTGCCAGGCACTGTTCTCAGTGCTTTAAACATTTTCCTCGCAGCAACCCTAGGAAGTAGGTACTGCCATTACCCCCATTTTGCAGAGGCACAGACAGCCAGAGTAACTTCCTCAAGCCTCACAACTCAGTTCTGGAGCTGCTGCGATTCACGCTCAGGCCACTGGCTCCGGGCCCACACCTCCGTGGCCCTGCCACGTGGGAGGAAGTTTGGGAGGCAAGGTCTGGAATGACCCAGCCCAGCCGCCATTCTCATTAGGTGACTATAGGCCACAGGCAATGAAGTCGGGAAGAGGAAGCCACCGAGAATAGTGTGGAGAGTGGGACAGGGGCGGATATGCCTTGGAACTTTCCAAGAAATAAAATGTGGCTGCAAAGCAACAGAGTGTCCCCAGGGACGCCGAGCGTGTGCTACCTGGTCTAGTAACTGGTATTTGACTGAGTCTGTCATTACCCCCCCCCCACCCCCCCCACGCCCCCCCGCTGATTCACTCCATAGGGTCATTCGCATAGTCACGTAAATGTGCTGTAATATCTCCACCTTAAAACCAAAAACGAAAGCCAACCAATGAAATAACCCTCTCCCGCATACAGGTTCCCCCACTTGCCACCTCTCTCTCTGTCCGGTTTAGGGCAGAACTTCTAGAAAGAGCTGCCTCGGCTACACATGCCGTTCCAATCTCACCTTGTCACCCACGACGGCTGTCCTGTGAGACCCAATGGCTGCCTCTCAGTGCTCATCTGGCCGGTGAAATGAACACTACACTTCCTAGTGCACACGTCATGGTGCACGTTTCATTCTTTTCACGTTTATTTTCAATTAATTTTAGAGAGAGAGAGCAAGCAGGGAAGAGGGGCAGAGGGAGAGAGAGAGAGAGAAAGAATCTCAAGCTCAGTGTGGAGCCCAACTCGGGGCTCAGTCCTACAACCCTGGGATCCTGACCTGAGCCAAAATCAAGAGTCAGATACTCAACGCTCAACCTATTGAGCCAGCCGGGTGCCCCCATAGTGCACATTTCATGGGGTCCGTTTCACGAACACTACTCTATAGAAGGCAACGGATGCTACATTACTCCCTCACCTGGTCACTTTCTTCAGGTGGCTTCCAGGAGACAGCTCATCCCTCCCTGGTGCTCCTCCTTGTCTACTTGGCTCGTTCCTCCTCTTCCTCCCTACTCCTCTGTGCTGGCTGGCATGCCCTCAGACCCCACCTGAGAATTTTATATCATTTAACTCTTTAAGGGGTCTCAGCCAATGCTGTGGCGGTAAGAGCCGATGACTTCCAAATGTATCTCCAGCTTTGGCTTCTGGGATCCAGTTTTATGACAGCCTTACCCAGCTTAACTGCTGCCTTGGCATCTCAACCTGGATGTCCCACAGGCATTGCAGATGCCTCCGAGTATCCTTGTCTTTCTCCGTCTGCTCCCTCTGTTTGCCCTCCGTGAAAAGCGCCAACACTCACTTGGCCCCCCAAAGTGGAGGTCATACTTGAGGGCGGAGAGTCTGACCCGTCACTCAGTTCTGACCCCATGTCCAGCCCAGGGGTGCTGGAGGGAGACAGAGGGCCGTTCTATAATGCTATTGTGTGGCCACTCCCATGCTGGGTTTGGGCAGGTGGGGACAGAAGTGGGAAGGAGGCAGGGGGAGTGCAGCCCCTGCCCTCAATGGATTTCTGGGTGGCAGGGAGTCCAGACCCTTCACTCTTCAAGGCAGTGCCCACTGGACTCGGGGCCAGACCCTCATAGACAAGGAGGGTGCTGGGTCTGCAAAGCAGGGAAGGTGTTCTAGAGGAGGCAGGACTTGGGGTTGAACAGAATGAAAGAGGCAAGGCAGCAGGTGTCTCTGGGGACAGATCAGGGGCAGCAGGGCCAGAGAAAAGGAGTCACGGTAGACCAGAAAGGGCTGAACAGGCCCTGATTGGGCACCCCAACTCCGGGCTGGGCCTTATGTGTGGTGTTTTGAGTACTGCTCATGGACTTAGGAGGTCGATATCTCTCAGAGGAGGAAAAGGTTAAGTCACAGGTGGTTGAGGGCCAGCAGAGATCCGGACCTGGGTCCCTCCTCTCCAAAGCCTGACCTCGCCTTGTTCCATTGTCCCATTCCCTAGGTCACCAGGCCTTGGAAGGTCCCACATCTTATAGATGGTGGAAGCAAGCAGAGGTTTGCAGGTATTAGGTTGAACCATATGGAATTGCTGGATTTTGCTGGTTTTTTTTTTTTTTTTTTTTGAGAGAGAGAGAGAGAAGGGAGAACATGAGGGGCGGGGGTGGGGGGTGGGCGGTGACAGAGAGAGAGTGAGTCAGAGGATCCAAAGTGGGCTCTGTGGCTGTTGGCCCAGGGCCCAATGCGGGGCTTGAACCCACAAACCACAAGATCATGACCTGAGCCGAAATCGGACGCTTAACCGACTGAGGCTGATTTTGCTGATTTAGACCTGCAAAGGGGGAATTTAAAATGGTTCAATCTGATAGGATGTGTATGGATACGGTCTCTCAATTGACCGGTTGCAAATCTGTCACTTCAGTGGTGAGTACCCTGGTTTGTGAGAGGCTTTGTTAGAATTTTCTAGGCCTACAGGGCTCCTGGTTGGTTCAGTCGGTGGAGCACGTGACTCTTGATCTTGGGGTTGTGAGTTCAAGCACCATGATGGATATACAGATTACTTAGAAATAAAAAGAAAAGAAAGAAAGGGTTTTCTGGGTCTAGAAATCTGATAGCCATCCACCCTAGGACTGGGCTATATAGCCCCGTGGTTTAAGGAATGTTTCCCATAAGAATGGGTCCCTTCAAATCGGCTCTGGGAAGGAGACGGAACTACTTGGGGACAAGGCAGAGGGTCACCTGTCATCTTGCTGAATGAACTGGGTGCTCTGGCCCTCCCCCCCCCCTCCCCCCACCAACCCACAGGTCCAGCCTCCTTGAAACACCAGCCCCAAGGTCACAGAGCAGACACTGTATCATGTTACGTCTCTACCCTCCCTCCCCACCCCCTGGGCCATCAGTACTTGCTATCATGGTCATTTTCTGGAAGACAGCTCTGACCCTGCTCCAAAGCTCTCTGTGGCTCCCATGGCCAACTGGAGAGGTCCAGATCCCCTGATATCTGAACCCCTCCATGGAGGAGTTTCTGAAGTTGCAAAGCAAAGATCCGACGGAGGAAAGAACACATTTTGCTCAGGAGGGCCCTCTGGGTGGGGACAAGTCCCTCTGCTCCCTCCCCACCCCCTGTCCTGCCCTCCAGTCCCCACTGTACGGGAGTACAGTAAGGGAGCAGAGGTCAGCTCTGACCCCGTGTCTCTTGCCTTCAAAATGCTTCAGTGGCTCTCTGTGGCCACCAGGAAGAACTTCAATATCCTTAACACAACATCAAGGGTCCTCCAAGATCTGACCTAACCCTCCAGCCTCATCACTGGTGATGACCACCGGGCATAGCACAGCCAGACCCACCGAACTCCTGTGTGTTGCTCTTGGGGCCTTTGCGCGTGACAACCACAGCCAACACCCGTATGGCCTCACCGTGTGCCAGACACGACACCATTCTGAGTCTTTTAAATTTTTTTTTTTCAACGTTTTATTTATTTTTGGGACAGAGAGAGACAGAGCATGAACGGGGGAGGGGCAGAGAGAGAGGGAAACACAGAATCGGAAACAGGCTCCAGGCTCCGAGCCATCAGCCCAGAGCCTGACGCGGGGCTCGAACTCACGGATCGCGAGATCGTGACCTGGCTGAAGTCGGACGCTTAACCGACTGCGCCACCCAGGCGCCCCCATTCTGAGTCTTTTAATGCAAACTGCTCTATTCTTCCCAGTAACCCTAAGAAGGAGTGATTTCTTCTTCTTCTTCTTCTTCTTCTTCTTCTTCTTTTTTAGTTTGTGCATTTTGAGAGAGAGAGAGAGAGAGAGAGAATGTGCATGAGTTGGGGAGGGGCAGAGAAAGAAGGAGAGAGAGAGAACCTCAAGCAGGCTCTGTGCTTGGTGGTTCGGAGCCCTGGGTGAGGCTCGATCTCATGACCACGAGATCACGACCTGAGCCAAGATCAGGAGTTGGACACGCAACTGACTGAGCCACCTAGGCACCCCTGAAGGAGTGATTCTTGTTACTGCCATTTTGCAGATGAGGAAACTGAGGTGCAGAGAGCAATTTGCCCAAGGCCACACAGATTGCCCCATCTTCAATGTGCACCCCGAGCCCAGCAAGTTCAGCCTGGAAAATCCTACTGGCCCTTTGCTCTCCCCTCTGCAATGCAAATACAACTTCCTCTCAGGACTCCCCTCTCTCTCACCTGGACTCCCAGAGCTCACATGCTCTCAGGTGTCCCGTTATGATACGTGTCCCTCACCAGACAGAGGTTTCCTCCGGGCATCACAGGGACAGAGTGGCCCAATAATGAATTAGTGAATGAGGGCATGAATGTGTGAAGGGTAGGTCAGGCCTGGACAAGTCCTGAGCCTGGGTGAGGATCCCAGCTTCCTCCCTCACCTTGTGCTCTTGGATTGTTCCAGAAAGGACAGAGAGGAGAGTACTCATTGTGAAGCCACAAGGCCTGGGTGGCGCCCCAGCTCTGATCAGCTTTTCCTGTGGACCAGGGGCTCATCTCCTGCGCACCTCACTGAGGGGTGGACCCTCAAAGTGAGAGGGTGTCGTGCTTTCTTAAACTGTACACCTTTTTGCCGCCGACCCTACTGCTTACTAATATAGGTTTCCTTTCCTAGGAAACACGATTACCAGCCGTGGAAAGCCGGTATCTCGTCCCACACAGAAAGTAACAACAGCAACAAAAATACATAAAAGAACAAAACAAAGTGAGTCGATTCTACCTAACCCTGAGGTTTCTGTCTGCCTCTGAACCCGAGACTGCTTTTTCTCCCTTAAAGTGGGTTAGCCCGGAGGCGCTAGAGATTTGCCTGTTCCAAACCAGGACTGAGGAGGCCCAGCCTCCTCGCTCCATGCCTCCCTGGCCTGTGACCCCTTCTGCGCCTCGGTGCCACTTTCCTTTGGGAGCCATGGAGGAACTGGGGGCGGTGGGGGGGGGGGACTCCTGTGACTGTGGAGGTACCGGTCACTCAACAAGCACTGGAGAAGGACCTCCTTCCCAGTTCCAGGCGGTTCTGGGGCAAGGTGGGCCCTGGAGGCTGTCCACTGTCCCCTTACACCCTCGCTTCCGGACAGACCCGAGTCCTCGTGTGCGGTTGGGTGTTTCCTCCAGCTGGCCGCATCTGTGCACTTCCCGGAGGCTGGGGTGAACCTCTGATGTCTCCCTCCTGTTGGAGGCCGATGGCCACATCTGGCCACCAGCCCGGCGGCTTATGCAATCTGACAAAGGCCAGATGTTGCTTTCTCCCTTCCTCCAGTCCTGCGGCTCCTGGCTCTCAGCTCGAGGTCCCCAACACACAGGCCCCTTCTTGGGATCCACGATGCTGAGAGGGGTCTCGGGAACTGCCCTATCTGGGTCGCGTCCCGCAGGACTGTGGCTCTGCAGTGTGACCCCCGGGTCTCCATTTCATCCCCCCATTCACTCGTGAGTAAACACGGAGGGGCCCTGGGTCCCATGAGGGTGACATGAAATGACACAGTACTTCCAAAGCTGGGGAGCCCCGGCCTCCACTAACATTCGAGGCCATCCAAGGTGGTGCTCAGATGGACAGTTGCGTGTGTGTGTTTTAAACAGCTAAGCATTCATTTTGACGTGTATGAAGCACAAATAACAAGCACACCAAACAATTTCAGTTTTCTGTGTATGATAGTTATACCTTTCTTTTCTTTTAAAAAAATTTTTTTTAACATTTATTTATTTTTTGAGAGACAGAGAGAGACAGAGCATGAGCAGGGGAGGTGCAGAGAAAAGGAGATACAGAATCGGAAGCAGGCTCCAGGCTCCGAACTGTCAGCACAGATCCCGACGCGGGGCTCGAACTCACGAACCGTGAGATCATGACCTGGGCCGAAGTCAGTCACCTAATAGACTGAGCCACCCAGGCGCCCCCTTTCTTTTCTTTTTAAACAATGTTTATTTATTTACTTATTTTTAAAAATGTTTATTTATTTTGAGAGAGAGAGAGAGAGACAGCATGAGCATGAGTGGGGGAGGGGCAGAGAAAGAGGGAGCAGGAGGATCCCAGGCAGGCTCCACACGGTAAGCACAGAGCCCGACGTGGGGCTCGAACTCATGAACTGTGAAATCATGACCTGAGCTGAAATCAAGAGTTGAATGCTCAACAGACTGAGCCACCCAGGGGCCCCTACCTTTCTTTTCAATAAATTTATTTAAGTAAAAAGAGTGAGATGATTTAAGGAAAAATATTAAATAATAATAGCACAGGTGCTATGCAGATAATGGCAAAAAGTGACACGGAGCCTAGGAGAATGTCTGAAGCTTGGCAAGCCTTAGACCAGCACACGGTAAGCTCCGGGAGCTATGAGAGCTGCGCTCTTTACGGCCTCAGCCACTTGGTTAGCCCCTCAGGGGAAAGGACCCCAACTCTAAATATGGGCACCCTCTTTTTATAATGGCTATTTCGGAATGGCCCCACATGAGCTGGATAAATAATATACTCAATCCTCACAAATATTCGAAAAAATTCAAAAAAAATTAATGTGATGCGCTAACAGTGATTTAAAGGAGAAAGGAAGGTTATAATACACATTTCAACATGTAAATATTCAGACGTAATGATACTTTTAGATGGTTAAACCTACCTATAATGGCTTTTTAAAAATTAAAGTGTACTTAACACAATGTGACATTAGTTTCAGGTGTATGACACAGTGATCACACATTCTGCTGTGTTCACCACACGTGTAGCTGTCCTCTGTCACCATACAACACTGTTACAATACCAGTGACCATGTTCCCTGTGCTGTACTTTCATCCCATGACTTACTCATTCCATAACTGGAAGCCTGTATCTCCCACTGCCCTTCACCCCACCCCTCCCCTCTGGCGGCCGTCAGTTTGTTCTCTGTATTTATGGGTCTGTTTCTGCTTTGTGTTTGTTTTGTTATAACAGCTACAGTTGAATTTGAGAGTCATGAGGTAATATTCAATTGCATGTTGTTGACATTCTTTCCCTATATTTGGCATTTTGAAATATGGGCTAAGAAAATATATTCAGATGGATGGATGGATGGATGGATAGGTGACTGGATGGATAGATGGATGGATAGATGGATGGATGGATGCATGGATGGATGGATAGGTGAATGGATGGATAGACGGATGGATGGATGGATGCATGGGTGGATGGATAGGTGAATGGATGGGTGGACAGATGGGTTGATAGATAAGCAGACTCACTGGGACACAGCATAATGAATGCCAGTGGACACAGACATTCCTTATCAGCTGGTTAAGCACAAGTGTTGTCAGTGTCTAGGATGTGGTTTTGAAATGATGAGCAATTCTTGGAAAATTCCAAACAAAACCAAGTATAACCTTCCCACTACTCACGCAGCATTACATTCTTGGAAAATCCATTGTACGTTAAAGCTATGCAAAGAATTTGTGGTTATATGGAAAGCAGCGTTAGATCCCAGTCTCAGACAATTGTAGTGACAGCACGTTTTTCAAAGAATGAATGTCCAGACATTTGGAAGCCGTGTGGGGTACGGGGCAATCCTGGGTTGTACAGGACCTGTGCAGAAGCTTGCGTCCCTGGGAAGGCCCCCCTCAAGGGCCAGGAACACTGTCCCCCTATTCATTGAGACAAACACTCCCTCCCCACAAGTTTCCAGAACATCGCAGACTCCCTCCTTGTTCCTGTTCTAACCTCAGGTCCCACTGGCTATGGGAGCCTCCACCCAAACCTGGCTCTAGGCTGCCTCATGGGGGGACTATAAGGTGCCCAATTGATGGATTTGGACTTGGAGGCTGCCGGTTCAGCCACTTGGACCATGCCAATGCCCTGGGGAAGCACCCAGGAACTTCATTGGCCAGTGCCCTCTGGCCTGCAGCCATTCTGGTCACCCCCCCCCCCCCCCGCCACCATGTGGTCTCTGGGCTTGCAGAGCCACGAAGGATGGGGGACTGGCTTGTATCTGTTTACTCCTGGGCTAGCCTCTCAAGCAAGGGTGCCCTCATCACGTCCCTTCCCCTCACTGAGACTCAGCAGCCCCAAGCTTTTAAATGGGGAAGTCGCCCCTGCTCATGGATGAGAGCTGGGGCTAAGTGAGGGACGTGTGCACCTGTTCACACTGTAGGCACGCATCCAACTCTTGTTAGCTCCCATCCTCTGTTCACAACCGCCTCCTTCTCTATTCATTTTGTTTTCTAAAAACCTCAAATAAATGTTTCAGCGCATGGATTGTCGCCCAGTTTCTTAATCTGACCTGTGCCGATGAATATGGTGGCCGCTTGTCATACTGGGCTACTGAAATTTAAACTAATTACAATGAAATTCAGGTCCTCAGCATGTGAGCCACATGTCAAGTGCTCAGTAGCCACATGTGGCTTATGGCTACCATATTGGACAGTGCAGATATAAGCCATTTACATCATCACAGAAAGTTCTGTTGGACAGCACTGAGGTTATGGTAAGAAGATAAAGTAATACTTCACAGTCATTTTGCCTCGAACCGTAATTCTGACTTGTAAGTCGCCTGTCCAATTCACTATCACGTTCCTGCAGTGATAATTCTGCTTAAATTGCAATTATCTGAACCTAGAAATTGACCCTGTTGTATGTATAAACAAAATATATCACAAGTGGGTTCCTGCCATAATCCAATGCACTCCTCTCTACATGGAAAAACTCAAACTGGGTCCCTGTCGACACCCACTGAAGGGGTGGACTCTGGGTGGATTAAAGACCTAAATATGAAGGGCAGAATTAAAATAGAACATACAGCAGGATGAGTGGCTTTGAGACCTAGGGGTGGGGGACAGCTCAAACAAAAACTCAAAAGCAAAAATCACAAGGCCCAAAGCATTTGATGAATTTGATCAATCAAAGGACACATGGGAGCCGGCTGGCGTCCCTTGGTCAAGTTCTGTGCAAGCCTCTCACAACCCAGCGATTCCGCCCCCGGGGTATTGTTTTTTGGGGGAAGTTCTCGCACCCGTCTGCAGGGTGGCATGGAGGAGAATGCTCATCAGTGTCATCTGGGGAGGTGGCAGCTGGGAGGCGGCTCTGGGATTGGGCGGGAGCCTCACCAGGAGGGAGGGACAAGGGGCAGCCGTGCACACAGCCAAGGCACCTGAAACATGCAAGGCTGAGTGAAAAATGCAAGACGCGGCGTGAGACACAGAACACAGTGCTGTTACGGACGCCGAACGCAGACACAGAAACACACGTTTTGCCGGAGCACAGTGAAAAGAAGATACCTGGAAGTCACTCGAGGAGGGTTGCCGATAGGGCGGACAGGGAAGTGGGAGGAGAAGGGGAGAAAGTATCCATTCCTACCCCGGCTCCAACCCAAGTCTCCCGCTCCGAGGATACAACCTTCCAAGTGTCAGAATACATGTTCACCGATGACCAGCACGGCGGTTGTAGGACACTATCACTGAACTCAGGGGCTGGCAAACTTTTCCTGTAGAGGGCCAGGGGGGGTCAATATTTCAGGCTCAGCAGCCCATGTGGCCACTGCTGTAGTTACTCAGTTCTGCCTTTCAGGTGCAAAAGCAGCTACAGACAATCCACAAGGAAATGAACATGGCTGTGTTCCAAACTTTATTTTATGGATACTGAAATTTGCAACGTCATGAAATTCCTCTGTGCCAGGAATATTGTTCCTTTTCGCATTTTCAACCACGTGAAAAGGTTGAAATCATAGTTTGCATAATAAGATCCATAAATAGGCTTGGGGCTAGATATGGCCCACAGGCTGTAGTTTGCGAACTCCTGGTTTAACTGATGACTTTTGCCCTCAGTGGACAGAATTTCATCCAGAGAAAACGTGTTTAATTGGTGTGGTAGGCTGAGGGCTCACCTTGCCCCCAAGGCCAGCCAGCCAGCACCTTCTGGATTTGTGAAGAGCACTGAATGAGAGATGGAACAGAGCAACCATCTGGCTGGGGCCAGAAAGACCACCCTGAGGGGAGTGGGGACCCCCTGAATGGGCAGCATGGCGTATCCATCTGGGTCAGCAGGAGGGAGGGATGTTGTTTGTGGCTGATATGCTAAGGGAGTGGGTGGCTGACAGCCTGTGGGACACACGTTCACAGGTGCAGGCTCACGCGAGCTCATTGGCGGTATCTAATGGCAGAGGGCACGAGCGGTGGGTGGCAGGAGGGGACGCCGGCAGCCTGCCCCTAGACCAGCCAGGTCAGCTCTGCCTTGCTTTGGCCTGAGTCTGGCCCTCCGATGTGCTGGCCCCTGACACCCTGCCAAATAATTCCCTTCCGGCTTTAGTGAGCCAGCGTCACTTCCTGTTGTTTGCAACCATGGCCCCCCCAGCTGGTATGGCTTTGAGCAATTCACATCACCTTTCTCAACTTCAACTTTCTTTCCACAAAAATGTCTTACTTACATGGTGTGCACCATGGTTACGGCAGGGTGGGCAGAGTTTCTAGCAATGACTCAAAGGTTCCTGCAGCCCTTGACTGTGGGGAGGTATCATCCCCTTGATGGTGTTATGTTGTTACAGCTGATGTCAAGGGGGTTAACGTTCCCATCCAGTCACATGAGTCCCTTTAAAAACAGAGAGCTCTCTTGGGGCGCCTGGGTGACTCAGTTGGTTAAGCGTCTGACTTCAGCTCAGGTCATGATCTTGTGGTTCGTGGGTTCGAGCCCCGCATCGGGCTCTGCGCTGACAGCTCGGAGCCTGGA